TAATTCATATAAGAGTTCTTCTATTAATGAAAAGTTTGAAGCCGGCAAGAAAATTTTCTTTCGTGTATAAATACATGTAATACATAATTAACCGATTGCATATTTTCTTCTTAGAAAATATAAATTCTCGGACAGTCCTACAAATTTTTGCATGCAAATTTTTCTTCATATTTTTTTTGATTCTACGACCTAGGGACCTGTCTGATCTCCAAGGCCAATACTTTTCTTTGATTATTACAAGGTGTTCTGTTTTCGTAGAAAGTAATTTTCTGGAGGTGATTGGAAAATAAGATATTTTTCTCCGATATGCGCTATGTTTCTTTTCGGTTGAATATGCATGGGGAAAACAATATACATTTATGGCTTATACCCTTGCGATATTGAAATTTGTATATAACCTCTATGCAGCTCAAAGAAGTAGGTACAGTTTTGGCTTTATTGTGCCCTAAAAATTTAATGTTTTCAAAATGTTTTAAATATCGGCTTAAATATTAGTTGAGTATATGACTGTGATAAATCAGGAAAGAATATGGCATGAAGGAGGACCATTCTGGAAATATGACGTCATTAATTTGAGGCATTTCTCTGTTTTAAACAGAAAAAGCCTCAAAATGACCCATTTCAGGGGTAATTCTTTTTAGGAAAATAGTGTCCACAGCTGTCGCCCACTTTAATTTTTGGATATGGTGTGTATAATTCTTTAAAAAAAAATACATATCTCAAAATCATTGTGGGCGATGCATGTGGTCTATATTTTTGGAAGAAAATTTCATTGAAAATTGATGTCTGCCTTCTGCAACTTTTTAAGAAAATACGGGAAAATGCACAAATTCATGACGTCACAATTAGCATTTAGAAGGCCATGTGAGAGAAATGATTTATATGATCTTTCTGCATTGAGTTTCAATGATTCAGAGATCATGACTTTAAATTTTTTACATCACTTTTATATTTAAGAAAATTACAGACCAAGAGTTGTATTAAAACCGTACCTTGTTCTCATATACACTGTATCAACATTTAGCAAATTCTATGGTCGATAAAATGACCTAGTTTGTAAACACATTCTGTCGATCGAACGTCGAATGATGTATTTCATAAGAATTGACTACGGCTTTCCCCGTCTACCCGATCAGGACAAAGGGCACAGAGAGGTTGTGATCAGCCGAAAGTGGATGCTACTCCTAGATCCCACCTTTGATGTCTTCGGAGTTCAGTGTTTACCCTCTCACATTTTGATTTTTTTTTTTCAGTGGACTTTTGAGCTTGATCACTGGGTTTTTTTTTCATTTCATGCATACTCACGTGACTGTCAAATCAGATAACTAATTTATATTAAATTCATGTGATAATAGTTTAGTTTTACAAATGGAAGATTAGATTAACAAGATGTGCGTGTGAAAAAATTATGCCCCCTTATGGCATCTCATAACAAAGGTTAAAATTTCTCAAATGCAAATCAAATATCTTGGTACCAAAAGTAAGGTCTTGTCTCGAGGAATATACATGCAAAACATGAGAACCCTAGCAGCAACCTTTGAATAGATATAGAAAAGTTTAGGTCTTGTCCTAAGGATTACATATGCGAAGCACCAACTATTCAAAAGTTATGGTCAAGATTAAAGTTTTCCAAGGGTATTCCAAAGTCAGGGTCAAAGGGTCAAAGTTATTGGTATCCAAAGGGAGGTCTTGTTACAAGAATTACATATGTGAAGCATGGAAGCCCTAGCACCAACCGTTCAAAAGTTATGGCCAATGTTAAAGTTTGCAAAAGTAGGTAAAACTCCAAGGTCAAGGTGAAATGGTCAAAGTTGTTGGTATCCTTAAGAAGGCTTTGTCACAAGGATTACGTATGTGAAACATGAAAGCCCTAGCACCAACTGTTCAAAAGTAATGGTCAAGGTTAAAAGTTTTGCAAAAGTTGGTCAAACTCCGAGGTCAAAGGGTCTAAGTTGTTGGTATTTAAGGAAGGTTTTGTCACAAGGATTACATATGTGAAGTATGAAAACCCTAGCACCAACTGTTCAAAAGTTATGGCCAAGGTTAAAGTTTTGCAAAAGTAGGTCAAACCCAAAGGTCAAGGTCAAAGGGTCAAAGTTGCTGATATCCAAAGGAACGTCTTGTCAAAAGGATTACACATGTAAAGAATGAAGGCCCTAGCACCAACCGTCCAAAAGTTATGACCAAGGTTAACTTTTTTTTCAAAAGTAGGTCAAACTCCAAGGTGAAGGTCAAAGGGTCAAAGTTGCTGGTATCCAAAGGAAGGTCTTCTCAAAAGGTATAAACATTTGAAGTTTGAAAGCCCTAGCATTAACTATTCACAATTTATGGCCAAGATTAAAGTCGAACTCCATGGTCAAGGTCCAAAGGCAAATTTTATGGTACCCAAAGAAAGGTTTTGTAAAAATCAATACACATGTGAGTTATGAAAGTCATAGCTCCATCCAATCAAATATTATGGGCAAGGATAAAGTTTCTGTGAACAGACAGACAGACGGACGGGCAGAGCAAAAACTATATGCCCCCGAATCTTCGATTACGGGGGCATAAAAATCCATATTTGCAGGCATATATTCCTTTGTTTACTAATTATTTCTTTATATGTAGTACCTCCTAACGGGTTGCGCCAAAATTATACTAATGACCCTGTATAATGAAACAGTATCGTTCAGCTAAAAAGGTGTTACTTGAAAAACGGATAGAAAATCAAACCTACAGATAGACATACACAAAGGTGGGAGTAATTAATTTGCTTCGCGTCGTTCTCCATGGGATACAAAAATAGCACAGAGTATTGTAATTTATGGAAAAAATATTTTGGATTATTTCGCTTTGTGCAATCTGGTTTTAACGCATGCAGTAATTTAACACTAACGGAGTGTCCGATTAAATGCTATAGAATAAACTGTGAAAAGATCTGTCCGTCACCAAGTTATGGTCGATTATGTGAAGAAGGGTTTTCTTGTGACAATTCTAGCAGATGTGATCCCATTATCGGATGTAAACCAATTAGTAAGTAAAGATTCAAATTGTTGTTGATGTTTGTAATGGTAATGTGTATTTATTTGGTTTATCAAATTATTGAAAATTATTACTGCATGCAAATAATTACTTTAACAAAAACTCCGAAAAAAAATCTCATTGTATAAATCTATAACAAAAAAATAAAATAAAATTAAAATCTTCAGAAAGATAACAAATGCTTATCTTACATTATAATTATTATGTCTAGGTAAGATCTTATCCTTAACATTTTTCTGTACCTGTATTTGCAACACCAAAAAGGAATATCAGAATAAACTTCAGATAAAGATAATCCTGTCATTAATAAACGTGTTTGCTGAAATTGCTTTACTACATGTAAGTGTGATTTTTGGGCTGTGCTCGAAATAAAAGTTTCCAGTCTCCTGAAGACCCTGCAGCTAGACAAGGATTTGCAATGAGGAACAAAAGAAATCGTATGTAGTGTTATACAGGCACACAACAGCTCTCTGTCTAGTAGGAAATTCATTTGTATAATTCATATAAAATATAATCTACATACAGACCTTTTATGCCCCTTCTCCAAAAGATTAATTTTTACTATCTAAATCGTATATGTTAAACTTTTTGGGGTTAAATTAAAGCTTGTTAGGTTACCTAATTTTTAATCAGTATCTGATTCTTTCCATAGCCTTCGCTAGCAAGTGAAATTCGTTCATAAACATTTAAACTTTTTCTTTCTTTCTCCATGCTTTTAGCCACTTGAACCAATTTCAACTGAATTTGGTATGGAGTATTTAATAATAAGGAGTAAAAAGTTGTGATTTATCTTGTTCTTGCCTTTTACGGACCCTAGACAAGAGGACCAATCCGATCTAAATTCATTCTTTTTCTTTTTAAAATTCTTGTTCTTTAATTTTGGAAATCGGGCTGTCAAACGTTTTGTTTGATGAACAAACCTCTCTTACTTTAGGGAATAACTGACCCTGGTCTGAGTGGCTAGAGAACTCTTGAGCAAAAAAAAAAAAAAGAAAAAACTGTGGTCATTTCAGAACTATAGGATTCTCGTTTGAATAGGAATATATTTTTATTCATCTAGTGAGACAGTTTCAAATGAGAATTCATTTGCATAATTTGCAATAGAATAATACAGCACAAATATATCGTTCCTAGTGAGCAGTGTTGCTTTATTTGTGGCTAGTAACACTTTTTACTGAATAGAACAATGAATAAAAAAATGAAATAGTTGAGAAAATGACAAATACTCTTTAAGAAAGATTCGAACACACTAACTTCCGATCACGGAGCGAGCGCTCTAGCGACTGAGCTACCGTGACGGTCAATTTGTAACTAATAGTCAAGAAAGAAATCCGGACCGCTATGAAATACGTCCGGTTGGGTATACTCTGGTGAAGTGCGATTAGTTATCGCTAATTAATTACGACCAAGTAGTAAATCGTACACTGTCATATTCTTTCAAAATAGCGTAACTATAAATGATAAAAAGAAACCAGAAACCAAAGAAAGACAACATAGAAGGAAAATTTTTAAATATGAATTTGGATCTATTATAAATTATAAATGTTTTTAGGACTGTTTATCGAATAAAAGAAATAATTAACAAAAATGTAAGCAATAAATATGTGTGTGGCCGTTCTAGAATTGATAAAGCGAATTAACTTTAAAGTGTACTCTATATGGAGAGAATCGGCTTGTTTGTCACAATCAGGAATTGGATCTATTTCACATTCATCCTGGTAAAGTCATTTAGTATTTTAAGACCATTGGGCGGAATTACTTCATTCTGTTCGTCTAGAACTTTTCCTTGCATTTTCTCTGAGAGGTCCATCTTCGGTTATGGTCAATAACCACTACTGTCATGTCCTCCCGTTTCTGACCTTCGAGGTTGAAATGTTCCCCAACTGCTTCATTGATTTTCTTGGTCTTAATGGTCGAGCGATGATTATTGATTCTTATGCAGAGATCTCCCGTTCCCCAAGATACTGCTTTTGACATACCTTGCAGCTAATGAGATAGATGTAGTTATCTGTTTGACAGGACAGGTTCCCTAATATTCTGTAGCAGCGGCCTGTTGCTAGACCCTTAGGTTCATGTATACCTTTGAATGTGTGTAGGGGATGACAGCTTGTCGGCATGAGATACAGGTGGGAATCAGTGGGTTTCGTGTCTATACTGAACTCAATTTTACAATCAATCAGGGTAGATGTAATATCCAAGAATACGTTTTTGGAATCGGATATTTCTACAGTAAATTTAATCGAGTGATAGAAAGAGTTAGCAAAGGAAACGAATTCCTCGAGTCTGTTGCGGCATTACATCCGCTTCATCTCTATATCGTCAATAAAACGCAACCAGCTAAGGGGCCTAAAAGGTGCCTGCAGTAGCAAGTTGCGTTCAAGTACCGTATATGATTTACATTGTTAATGTTTGGTCGTGAACTCAGAATGTCATATGAGGCGACTAACCATCCACTGGCTTCAAATGGGGAGGAAGTTTCATCATGTGTTAAATTTGCAGAGGAAATCAAATCAAATCTTTATAAACACACCAGAATTGTAGGAGACACTTAAAAACAAGCTGTACAAAGACAAAAAGATGCTTACAACACAAAGGTTCTGACTACTAAATATATATACAACTGGTGATGTTGTTTGGTTGTTACATGAAACACTTGGAGAGAATGAATGTCCAAAATTCAAAAAAGCTTATGTAGGTCCATGCATTGTCATAGAAATTTACAGTAAATTGGTTTTTCAAGATTCAGATTGACTCTAGAGGAGAGTGTCAAGTTGTCAATCACAACAAGTTGTTGCCATATCGGTTCGATGATCCACCCAAATGGATCCAGAAAGTTGTGCTGGAGATGAAAAGAAAACAAAACTTTCCATTTCTTTATTCTTAGCCATGCCTTTGCAACCTACAAATAACAAATAAAATAATTTCTTATGAATACAACAAGAGAGGTGTTGTTTATCATGTTCATATTTACATGATGCAAGTCTAACTATTGATTCAAATAAATGGGGTATTCTTCTCATTAGAATTTTATAGCTATTAAGAAAAGGGACTAAAGCTATTTTAGTATATCATGATGTTATATTATTTTTAATATAAACTACATGGTTATTTCCATGTCTCTATAACAGAATTACCTTTTGAAAGGTTCTTTGCAGTATCTGGCGGGATGTCTTTGATGACAAAAGCAGGAAGAAGAGGCAGATTGTGGAGTTGTGTGGTGTGCCCCTATCGTGGAGAGCAACACACTGTTATTAAGCATGTTTATGCGAAACACCTTACTATTGACGAGTGGCCCTACCAATGTGCTTTATATATGCCAGTATAGTCACTACCATTATACGAACTTTAGCAGCCACATCAAATGGTACGAGATTCACCGGTCTATGGCATCAACAGTTACTACTTACACTCTTCAAGGTCAAGAGGAGATACGACCAGAAAGGAAGATTGTTTTCTCCATGATGAGACAGTGGACTGTTGAAAGTCTAGACAGTATTGAGTGAGCAAGAGAAGGCCGACAGTCTCACCACTTCCTCTGATTCCCTGTTCTTCTCTCCCGACGTACCCTACCATAGCACCACGTGCCTCTCAGCCATCACCAACTGTGCCAGCATCATCAGCTCTTGTTACTGCAGTGGCTTCCTCTACATCTCCTCCTTCTGCTGTACCTGCCTCAACATCAGTCTCCAAGATCACCCTTCTATCCCTCAATTCAGAGGATTCACCCATCCTTGATGAGTTCCTAATCTTTGAGAACAGCAGTGAATTCGATCTGGAAATATGCCGCCCGAAACCACCAGGGATATAGAAGTTAACAACTCACCAAGGAAGGATGATGAAGAAGAATTGAAGGCCAATATTGAAAGGTAGGCCAAGGCTCTAGGAAATAATACACTCGCTACAAACCGGTTAGGGGAACTACTGATGCAAAACCAGACACAGAATTCGAAGGAGATGAGGTCTGTTACAACGCGAAATGTAATAACTACGCAAAATGTAATAAACCGGGATTATTGCATTTTGCATTATCATATTTTGCGTCGATATCAACGCATAATGTAATAACACAAAATGTAAAAAACATACATAATATGTAAATTTCTCTTTAGGTAACTTGTTATATTCGATTGTTTTATTGTTAATGGGGAAATACGATTAGGACAGAGATGGGTAGTGGATTTTCTACGTAATTTTTTTTTGTAATGTCAAGCATCTGTGGTATTTGCTTGAGTTTATTTGATCATTTTATCAAATGTTATACTTACTTGACAAGTACCTGTGCTTGTATATGAAGTCAATTTCCTGCCGAAAGATAAAATTAAGTTGTATTTTCCTTTTTAGACTGAACCATTTTAAATGATAGAGAACTCATGTTTTATTCATGTGTTATTATAACTTGGCGTCTTCTTTGAGACGAGTGTCATTGGAATAGGTAGTTTGTTATGCATTGTGTTTAATGTTCTTTGAGACACTGAACTGAGAGATGCATTTGTCTATACTTACATTATTTTTCATTGAGAACTTAGTTACATGAATTGTGTCCATTCTTGTTCTTCTGAATGATTTTTGGAATAAACGCTCTGAAAACCAGGAAGATTCTGAGATGTTATTTGTTATCTACTATTTAACCATGCTTGTATATATTTGTGATTAATTACAAGCATACTTCATGTTATCAGAATTTAACATATATTGTGGTAGTATAGATGTCTTTATCTATATGCTGCTGTTATATTTTCATCCTTACCTTGTGATATTTTCATGCATTGTTGTCATATTTTCATGTTTGTATCATTGTAATAAAATCATCCTTCCATATTATTGTCAAATTTTCATATTGCATTGTTGTTATGGAATCAGCCTTCCATATTGTTACATCATATTTTCATCTTTGATTTGAGGTCATCTTTTCATTCTTCATTGTTGACATTTCTTATCATTGTAAAATAAGCCCAAAGGGACTTGGATAACTTTAACAGGGGGCAAAATATAACGAATATAATGACAGTGCTAGTATAATTACGATGTTTTAACTATATTTCTTGAATACATTTTTAAACTGTGTTTTGATATGATACCCGGTGGTTGACAAGTTATTTTCTTCGTTGTTTAGGACTTTAATGTTGTTATAATATTGACTTATTTGCTACCGATAGTTTAGTATAGTGTCTACATTATCCAAAAATTGAAACGGTGCTTATTTATGTATTATTCGGTAAATTGTATCTGGTAGCTTTAATGTTGTTATTCCGGAAGTGCGATCTCCTCATAATGCATTTTTTAAAGATGTGAAAAGTTATAAGCGGCGATTTATTTGATAAAGTGTATGTCAATAATTCTTTATTATTACCAAAGTTACTTTGATTACAGTCGCCCGTGTGGCGCAGTGGTTAGAGCGTCTGCTCTAGAGTCGCGAAGTAAGGAGTTGATCCTTACGTCGCGGGTTCGAATCCCACTGTGGGACGTGGAGACCGGTCCTTCAGATGAGACCGTATAAACGGAGTTTATATATAAACCAAGGTCCCTTGTTGCAGTAGGTGGTGGCACGAAAAAGATCCCTCAATGGCCGTAAGTGCCGAGTATAGGACAAAATTTGCAGCTCTACACCGGCAAGTGGTGGCCTCTCCATATGAGTGAAAAATTCGCGAGAGGGACCTTAAACAACAAACAAACAAACAAACAAAAACTTTGATTATTAAGTAGCTCAAATATTTTACTTCTTTGTATTTTCTTGTGAAACATAAGCATGATTTTTCTTTGCAGTGGAAACTGGGGTATCGCGTATCTGTGATTGGTTGAAAAGGTGCACGATGATTCTGATTGGTTAGCGTATTTTGCGTCATTTCTGCTGGACACATTATTACTGGTGACGTAGATATAGTTAAAAATGGGACCCTAAATCGTTTATTTTAAAAGGGCCAAAGTTTAGGACACCTCGATCTTTCAACTGGAATAATAATTTCATAAATATTATGAATTCTGTGGATATTACGCCAGGCGATGGGCCAGACATGAAAAAGTAGACATTGACACTTAGTCAGAATAAATCAAATGTATCAGATGTATATTAAATTCTCACATTAAGCGATTGAGGGGCAATATGAAAACCATTTATCCTTCTGTGTTCAATAATTCAGAAGTGAAAAAAAATTAGATAGACTACACGATCAGTATGCAGTGGTCCAAGCTTAAAAAGCAGATAACAACATTGTCTTTGTTTGTAAGACTTATTATTTTAATTGTATTTTAGAAGAACTTGGATTTAATTCCACAAGTTGCAATTCAACTTTCATCCATAGCTCCCTTTCTAAGAAGAAAATTCTTCAAAATCATACGTCAGTTTCGAATATTTTTAATATTCCCAACAACCAAAATGAATTTGAATTACAATATTTATATTGGATTCCGAAACTTCATAAAAATCCTTACAAACAAAGATACATAGCGGGTTCCAGTAAATGTTCTACCAAGCCTCTTTCTTTACTCCTCACTAAAATATTAACAGCAATGTAGGAGAAACTTCAGGAGTACTGTGCAACAATATATTCGAGAAGTGGTGTAAATCAGATGTGGATACTTACAAATTCCTAGGAGCTTTTGGAAAATTTGAAATAAAAAAAAAATTACAAAAATAAATTACATAAAAAATTACGACTTTTCAACTCTGTATACAACCAATCCCCAAGATAAATTAATGTCCAGGCTTTTTGACATCATTGACAGCTGCTTTTTCAATAAAAATGGAACACGTAAATTTACTTACTTTGTCATTGGCACTACTAAGTCAGAAATGTACTTACATTCCCATTTTTTTTACTAACAAACTTAGACAATTACTGACAATGTGCTGTCTTTACTGCAAAACTTGGACAATTACTGGCCTTTTTACTGCCGGTGCTGATAAACTTAGAAAAGTGCTGACAATCTTAGTCGGTGCTGATGAACTTAGACAATTACTGACCCCGTTTTACTGTCCCTGCTGAAAAACTTAGACAAGTGCTGACATTTACTGATAAGTACTGTCCCTATTGTTCTCGCTCTCGGGGGACTGCAGAGTTGTAAAATTGATTTATTTTATTTAAAGAGGTTTATTCGATTGTTTTTAAAATAATTTTTATTAATAATTTTTAATTTATTGTTGTAACAATGCCTGATATTTTTAAAATGGTTGTATGATCAGTTTATGGCAGAATCGTTTATTTAAAGATATTTCAAAAGGAAACCTATAAAATTTCAAAGCCTTTCAGCAGATAAGAAATTTATAAAATAATTATTTTTGTGCTGTTCAGTAGTGCAATACTGCATTTTACAGAGATCTTTTCCTCCTCACTATTAATTTATCTTCCCTAAATTTACATGTACCATCTCTTTTTATTGAATAATGTATAAAAATCAAACTGTTTAATTAGAGGTGTATATGCATTTAATTTTGAATAATTATATTTAAGACTCGTAGTATGCATTCGGACCGGGGTGTCCCC